ATTACAGCAAAAGCAAATGTTGTACATTACCTTTAATGAATGCAAAGACATTATTACTTATTAGTGCAGCTCATTCTAATTTGCCTTTTTTTGTAATACACACACATTTCAAAATATTTGTTATATTTTTGTATTGCAAAATTATTTTACTGTAATGAATACAAGTCTATATACACTGTACAGGTATGAAAATGACACCAACTTCTGCTCAATATAGGCTAATAAAAACAGCTTAACTTTTTCTAGGTCAACGTTTTTTTTTAATACATCCTCCAATACTCTTTTATCCTTTGCAAACGTGCAAATCTAAGGCATTTCCCCTACCCAAAATCTCCAAATTTGAACCAAACCATGAGATTATTTAAAAATACATGTAATTAGTGCACACAAAATACATGTACATGTACAGTACGCGTGTTCCACGCCTCTACTGCATAATTTTCTATACTCCATGTATACCTAAATAGGGTATGTACAATTGTTTCAAAAGTTAATCATTCTAAAAGCTTGGCAGATCTTTCACATTTTTCTGCGCTAACGTTGTACCTCACATTCAGAAGTGGACACCAAATCTTTTAACTTTTGAGGGCGCTATTCCCAAAAACCCAACGCCATTTTGCATTTTCACCAAACTGTATATAGACCATGTGACATTACAAAATAAGATTGTGTGGTCACATGATACAAACTTTCAGCAAACGTTTGTCCTCAGCACTGTATGTCGCTTGAAATATGATGGTTTAAAAGTGTTGACATAAACTGTTTAATGTGGAACCCCCAAAAAACATGCTAAAGATGCATGCCGGCGGTTGTCAGTCAACATGACGTCACAGGGCACAATACACTACAAAATACTTTCTCTTTTCTTTGAACACTCTCTCTTTTTCATATATTTTCATGCATTATTTTCCACAAAATGTTTAGGATTTCGTTCACGCAACTCCTACCTTCCTTTTGTTATTTACAAGATTTTTTAAAACATGCAAAAATACAAAACTTTATACGACTCCATTCCGCTCGTGTTGTTTGGTCTCGTCCACACTGAACGGCGCTCCCAGGTTTTATGACCCCCCATTCCATTTTTTTTGTATTCCAAATCCGTGGTTGATGTGGACCGGGGAATATTTCTGGTTATCCTGGGCTTATTGTCTTGTCCCGCCCCCGGGTCTGATTGCTGGATCCGCCCGTGGACCCTGTTTCAGGGAATCAAAAAGTCTTTTCGCAAGTGTCAACGCGGGCTCTGCATCTTCCGTTTGGAACAACTTCCTAGTGTTTATGTTCACAAAATGATTCCGTCAATCTACTGAGTTTTAAAATGTACACCCAGTTGTTATGCCCACGCCAAAACTTCGTGCTGAGCGTATTGCCGATGATGTTGAGCATTTAGAATTCGAAATATTTGCAGCCGTTGTCCAGTCGTATGTTCTTCCCGTCAGCTTCGTTACGGGTGATGCTATTCAGCTGGCAAATCAACTCTCCGGGGCCGCCTCGGCGCAGATTGAAGGAGCGGCATCGAGGTTCGCCCCGGCACGCCGAGCCGCACGCGATGACACCCTTGGCCGAGAACTCCTTGATGACGTGACCGGTGAGGCAGTGGGATGGGGAGCGGGCGTCGGCGTAGCTTTGCAGGCAGGACATCGTGGGCACGGCAAGCGGCGGAATGGGACTCTCGCAGATGACGAATATCAGATTGTCGCAGGCAAAGTCATCCATGAGGCCGTTTTGATCTCGCCACAGTTGCATACAGTCTCCCACAAGTGGTTCTCCTGGTGCCCAATTGAAGAAGTTGCATTCTCCTCCCTCACCAGACTTCACCCACTTGCCTTCCTCCTCCCTGTCGTTACATCCGATCCAAAGGTCCCCCAAGGTGACCTTTGCCGTGAACATCTTCCAGATGAACTGGTGTTCCTCCAAGGAGTCAGGAACCGCCAAGCCAGCGCCCATCTCCGAGCAGGCAGCATCACCTTGGTCCCACGTCATTTTCTCGGCCAGGAGTTGATAGCAAGAACCCCCGAATCTCTCCTGGTCGGGTTGGCAAGCCTCGGCGTGAACACACACACGAACGATGGCAACAACACTCATCCAGCAGATCAGCCTCATCGTGCACACTGATTTCGGACCGTGCTAACAATCTCGCAAATCTTATTGAGAAATACAGGTTGTGTCAAAAATTAAAATGGAACAAATCGCTAGAAAGTCTCACTGATGCAAGTTTGGTGCGTGAAATTCTCAAAATTTAACGAAGGCCTCGTCAAGAACGACTGTGATAATATGAACTGGCACGGATGTGTTGATCAGGACGAACTGCTGTGTTATCCAGCAATTATAACCTCGGTAGTGGCTTCGTGGTTTTAATTAAATTCAGATTCTAGATCTTGTCCAATTAAAACTCGACGCGCAGAGACACCGCTTCATTACCTGTTCCGAAGTCATTGTTCGACCTAGACAATAGTTCTGCACAAGAAAGTCTGATGCACTCTATTAAACATCTTGTTGTTTTGGGGTTTGTTATTTACTTTTGAACGTTGCCACAGCAACCTTTACCATAATTGCGCACGTCTGACGCTAGTTAGTCCACATTTTGTTTGCAGTCGAAATACACATCGTTGAACGGGCGTAAGCCAGCTAGTCTGGTTTCCTGACCTTACAATTCCCCAACGTCTATAAATTGATCCGTTTCGTCTGAAATAAGGTCAGGGAACCAGACTGCAAGAACAGCATATTTTTTTCCTTGGATTTTCCAGCATCAACAATGTTTACTATAAAATACTAACACCCAAATCCATCCATTTCTGAAAATTACAGCAAAAGCAAATGTTGTATAATTATTACCTTTAATGAATGCAAAGACATTATCACTCATTTGTGCAGCTCGTTCTAATTTGCCATTTTTGTAATACACATGCATTTCAAAACATTTGTTATATTTTTTCATTGTAAAATTCTTTTAGTGTAATGAAAACAAGTCTATATACATGAATACTGTTGAAAATCACATCAACTTCTGCTCAACATAATAGAAACAGCTCAACTTTTATTTCTAGGTCAACATACATGCTCCAATACTCTTGTATCCTTTGCAAACATGCAAATGTAAGGCATTTCCCCTACCCAAATTCTCCAAATTTCAACCAAACCATGAGATTATCTTACATTTAGAAATACATGTAATTAGTGTACACAAAATACAATGTATATGTGCATATACAATACGCGTGTTCCACGCCTCTTCTGCATAATTTTCTATACTCCATGTATAAAATACAAACAGAAAATACAAAGTGAGTAATTGAACTCAATATCGTAAAAAATGAGTCATTTTGTCCGTGTAGTGACAAACTTTGGCTCAAAGTGTGTCACTACACGGACAAAATGACTAATTTTATACGATATTGAGTTCAATTACTCACTTTGTGTTTTTGTGTGCACATTATGCCTAAATAGGGTGTTTACAATATTGTTTCAAAAGTTAATCATTCTAAAACTGGGCAGATCTTTCACATTTTTCTGCGCTCACATTGCTACCTCACATTCAGAAGTGGACACCAAATTGTTTAACTTTTGAGGGCGCTATTCCCAAAAGCCCAACGCCATTTTGCATTTTCACCAAACTGTATATAGATCATGTGACATTACAAAATAAGATTGTGTGGTCACATGATACAAACTTTCAGCAAACGTTAATCGTCACCGTTTTCACGAAGAGCCACATATCTCCAAAATTACAATTTTTTTCGATTTTGATTTTTTTCGATATTTCGCATTAAAACAATGTACTTAACCATTTTGACATGTTTCTGTAAGCAAAACATCATTAATTTCTAAGTTACATTAATGTTGCAAGGGGCAGAAATCTCGATAACTGCATTTTGCGTTTTCACGAAGAGCCACATACATTTTGGCCCTTTGAACGCGTACAAAACCCATTGCACGGAAATACGTAAAAGTAGGTCAAATGAGATTTGCGTTTTCACGAAGAGCCACATATCTTTGTTACATTTTCAGGCGCGCGCGCGTACTCACGCGCGCCTATGGAAATACACGTTGAACAGAAAGGGCCAATATGTCGGAAACGTGAATTTGCGTTTTCACAAAGAGCCACATATCTTTACTAATTAATTTCCACTAATTAACTGCTTTATTAAGTCTTATTACCGGGTTTATGTAAAACTTCAGCTCACGTAGAATCGTGTGATGGTTTTCTTGCTGCACAAAGTTGTTGCAAAGTAGTATTTCTTGCAGTTTTAAAATATGAGAAACTTCTTTTGTGATTATCTCGAAAACACTTTACTTCAAAATCAACATAATATTTATAGTATGTGGCTGTTCGTGAAAACGGTGACGGTTTGTCCTCAGCACTGAATGTCGCTTGAAATATGATGGTTAAACAGTGTTGACATAAACTGTTTAATGTGGACCCCCAAAAAACATGCAAAAGATGCATGCCGGCGGTTGCCAGTCAACATGACGTCACAGGGCACAATACACTACAAAATACTTTCTCTTTTCTTTGATCACTCTCTCTTTTTCATATTTTTTCATGCATTATTTTCGACAAAATGTTTAGGATTTCGTTCACGAACTCCTACCTTCCTTTTTGTTATTTACAAGATTTTTTAAAACATGCAAAAATACAAACTTTATACGACTCCATCCCGCTCGTATTGTTTGGTCTCGTCCGCACTGAACGGCGCTCCCAGGTTTTATGACCCCCCATTCCATATTTTTTTTATTCCAAATCCGTGGTTGACGTGGACCGGGGAATATTTCTGGTTATCCTGGGCTTATTGTCTTGTCCCGCCCCCGGGTCTGATTGCTGGATCCGCCCGTGGACCCTGTTTCAGGGAATCAAAAAGTCTTTTCGCGAGTGTCAACGCAGGCTCTGCATCTTCCGTTTGGAACAACTTCCTAGTGTTTATGTTCACAAAATGATTCCGTCAATCTACTGAGTTTTAAAATGTACACCCAGTTGTTATGCCCACGCCAAAACTTCATGCTGAGCGTATTGCCGATGATGTTGAGCATTTAGAATTCGAAATATTTGCAGCCGTTGTCCAGTCGTATGTTCTTCCCGTCAGCTTCGTTACGGGTGATGCTATTCAGCTGGCAAATCATCTCTCCGGGGCCGCCTCGGCGCAGATTGAAGGAGCGGCATCCAGGCTCACCCCGGCACGCCGAGCCGCACGCGATGACACCCTTGGCCAAGAACTCCTTGATGACGTGACCGGTGAGGCAGTGGGATGGGGAGCGGGCGTCGGCGTAGCTTTGCAGGCAGAACATCGTGGGCACGGCAAGCGGAACGGGACTCTCACAGGTGACGAATATCAGATTGTCGCAGGCAGTGTCATCCATGAGGCCGTTTTGATCTCGCCACAGTTGCATACAGTCTCCCACAATTGGTTCTCCTGATGCCCAATTGACGAAGTTGCATTCTCCTCCCTCACCAGACTCCACCCACTTGCCTTCCTCCTCCCTGTCGTTACATCCGATCCAAAGGTCCCCCAAGGTGACGTTTGCCGTGAACATCTCCCAGATGAACTGATGTTCCTCCAAGGAGTTAGGAACCGCCAAGCCAGCGCCCATCTCCGAGCAGGCAGCATCACCTTGGTCCCACGTCATTTTCTCGGCCAGGAGTTGATAGCAAGAACCCCCGAATCTCTCCTGGGCGGGTTGGCAAGCCTCGGCGTAAACACACGTACGCACGATGGCAACAACACTCATCCAGCAGATCAGCCTCATCTTGCAAAATGGTTTCGGACCGTGTGAACAATTTCGCAAGTCTTACTGAGAAATACAGGTTGTGACAGAGTAAAATGGAACAAATCGCCAGAAAGTCTCACTTATGCAAGTTTTGGAACGTGGAATTCTTAAATGAAACCCTCGTCAAGAACGACTGTGATATTTGAACTGGCACGGATGTGTTGATCAGGAACTGCTGTTTTATCCAGCAATAACCACGGTTATTTGCCAACGTGGCTGCGCGGTTTTCATTAAATTCAGATTCTAGCTCTTGTCCATCACTGAAATTGGCGTGCACAGTTAATACGGCTCTCCCCTGTCAGCATGTTCCCATGTCATTGTTAGACCTAGAAAGTAACATTTTTTTGTTTATTTTCTTTGATCACTTTGTTAGGTTGTCATAGCAATGGCAACCTTTACCATAATAGTATTTGCATACGTAATGACGCATTGGATATGGCCGCTGCAATTTATCTTTTTTTTCCATTAATAATGGATAAGCGATCCAGCGTGTTCTACCTATTACATTGTCATGACATATTAAAAAAGCTTTTAGAACGCAGACCTGCCGATCAATTGACTTGAATAAAGTGGGCATTTGGGAGTGACATTATGAACGATTGGAAAAGATAGGCCTAATTGTGCGCGGGCTAAATTCTCAGAAAAAAAATCTTCAAAACATTACAAAGATGTTATTATTTCATGCCAGCGACTAGAGTTTGAATATTACAATGGAGTCCACGCAGAAAACTAATTAAACTGTAGAAATTTCGGTTTGTTTGTTTGGTGTCATTCTACTGAGCTTTAAATGTACATCGAATTGTTATGCCTCGCCAAAACCAGGCGTGGTTCTAGAACCAATATTTTTTTTTTGGGGGGGGGGGGGGGGGGGCTAGCAGGGTGGATCCAGAATTTTTTTCATGGAGGCGTGCTGAAATGTAGACCGGTTATTTTCTCCAGACACTTCGGCCTCCGAAAATCATTGGGGGGGGGGGGGGGGGGGGGGGGGGGAGGGGGGGGGGGGCTCATGCCATATTTTCAATGGGGAGCGCCAATAAAATCCTAAAATCATTCACACTCTATTAACTACAAATGCACCCTTGTCACGACTATTTATTTAGGGGGAGACCGTTCGCATGTACATCACAATCCTTCTTTTTGCTAATGCAATATCTTTTTACGGAATTTATTTTTTGGGGGGGGGGCTAGACAAAATTTTGGGGGGCTAAAGCCCCCCCCCCCCCCCCCCCGTAGAACCGTGCCTGGCCAAAACGTTGTGCTGAGCGGATTTCCGATATTTTGTTCAGCATTCAGAAATTGAAATATTTGCAGCCGTTGTCCAGTTGTATGTTCTTCCCGTCGGCTTCATTACGGGTGATGCTATTCAGCTGGCAAATCATCTCTCCAGGGCCGCCTCGGCGCAGATTGAAGGAGCGGCATCCAAGCTCACCCCGGCACGCCGAGCCGCACGCGATGACACCCTTGGCCGAGAACTCCTTGATGACGTGACCGGTGAGGCAGTGGGATGGGGAGCGGGCGTCGGCGTAGCTTTGCAGGCAGGACATCGTGGGCACGGCAAGCGGAACGGGACTCTCACAGATGACGAATATCAGATTGACGCAGACAGTGTCATCCATGAGGCCGTTTCGATCTCGCCACAGTTGCATACAGTCTCCCACAATTGGTTCTCCTTGTGCCCAATTAACGAAGTTGCATTCTCCTCCCTCACCAGACTTCACCCACTTGCCTTCCTCCTCCCTGTCGTTACATCCGATCCAAAGGTCCCCCAAGGTGACGTTTGCCGTGAACATCTTCCAGATGAACTGGTGTTTCTCCTCGGAGTCAGGAACCGCCAAGCCAGCGCCCATCTCCGAGCAGGCAGCATCACCTTGGTCCCACGTCATTTTCTCGGCCAGGAGTTGATAGCAAGAACCCCCGAATCTCTCCTGGGCGGGCTGGCAAGCCTCGGCGTAAACACACGCACGCATGATGGCAACAACACTCATCCAGCAGATCAGCTTCATCGTGCAAAATGGTTTCGGACCGTGTGAACAATCTCGCAAGTCTTATTGAGAAATACAGGTTGTGACAGAGTAAAATGGAACAAATCGCCAGAAAGTCTCACTTATGCAAGTGTTGGAACGTGGAATTCTGAAATGAAGCCCTCGTTAAGAACGACTGTGATATTTAAACTGGCACGGATGTGTTGATCCGGAACTGCTGTTTTATCCAGCAATAACCACGGTTATTTGCCAACGTGGCTACGCGGTTTTCATTAAATTCAGATTCCAGCTCTTGTCCATCAAAATTAGCGTCCACAGTTAATACGCTTTCCCCTGTCGGCATGTTCCCATGTCAATGATTTAGGCAATATCTCTGGACAAGAAGATATAAAATACACATTATGCCTAAATAGGGTGTTTACAATATTGTTTCAAAAGTTAATCATTCTAAAACTGGGCAGATCTTTCGCATTTTTCTGCGCTCACATTGCTACCTCACATTCAGAAGTGGACACCAAATCTTTTAACTTTTGAGGGCGCTATTCCCAAAAGCCCAACGCCATTTGCATTTTCACCAAACTGTATATAGACCATGTGACATTAGTTGACTGTGTGGTCACATGATACAAACTTTCAGCAAACGTTTGTCCTCAGCACTGTATGTCGCTTGAAATGTGATGGTTTAAAAGTGTTGACATAAACTGTTTAATGTGGACCCCCAAAAAACATGAAAAAGATGCATGCCGGTGTGACAGGTAATTCTGTCCCCCCCTGGTAAATGTGTCCCCCCGGACACATTTCGTCGCTTTGCTCACGAAGTGACAAAAACCTCAAAATTTGACAAAAGTTCATTCTGAGATAATCGCATTTGAAGTTATTCATTTTTTCAAAGGACATTTTCGACCATTTTGCAGTAACAGAATTCGGAAATTTTTACATTGTCCGATAGGATATGATTTGCTCTTTGTTAGTTCATAGTTGTTTGTTAAAAATAGTTCGTAATTAAACAGTAATTCATTAATAAAACTTTTTTGCACTTCGTGAGAACATCAGAACTTTGGCTCCCATATTTTGCCAATTACTTTGTACACAGTTTTTGTCACTTCGTGGGATCATGAATCTTTTTTTCGACGCAACAAACTTGTTACTTTTGCGCGTCACGACAGTTGAGCGCGCGCGCGTCTGTTCTTTTTCAACATCGTTCGCCCGCGCGTGTATGCTTCCATCCTGCCGCGAATAGACCATTGTATAATTTCTGGCCCTGCCCACGAGGTGACTTTTTGTCACTTCGTGAGAACATTTTACACTTTTTTACACTTTGTGAAAATGAAAATCACCGATTTCAGGCTTTTTGTCAATTGTTTGTTTACAATAATTAAGAAAGTAAACAATATTTTGCCTTGAAACTTGGTCAAATTGTTCCTTGAGACAACTATAATAAAATGGCTAGTAAAACTCAAAATCGAATAATTATCGATTTTGGAGGTTTTTGTCACTTCGTGAGCAAAGCGACGATTTACCGGCTCGTGACCCAGTAAATGTGTCCGGGGGACACTTTTACCCAGGTAGATTTGCCCCCCTACATGACGCCCCCCATGAAATGTTCCAGCCCCCCCCCCCCCCCCCCCCAGCGCCCCCCCCCCCCCCCCCCTTCCCCACTGAAAAATTCCTGGCTACGCCACTGCCCTCCAGGTAAAAATGTCCCCCTGCCCAACGGTACGGTGAAAGTGTCCCCCTGGTAAATGTGTCCCCATGCAGTATGTACTGAGAGCAGCAGCGTGTCGCGCGCGCCAGTACATGCTGCAAGATATGTGGCAGTGATTATCACATGTGTACATATGCGTCTCACTCTACAATGGAAATTCATCCAATAGGAAATTTTGTTACACGCTATGATGGGAACACAGACCAATCCAAGTAGGCGTTGTATCAATGAGAGGAGGGCCATCGCCATGCATCGCCGCTGTATTGACCTATCGCGGTAGAATCGCGATAGATTTCACCGTACTCCAAATCGAAACATTGTGTGCACACATGGAGGAATCATTATAGACCAAATTAAATATTTTGATATTCATTAAAGGCAGACTAAAAGTCCAAAATGTATACCTTGTAGAGTGAATTCATAAAAACAAAGAGAAGTGGCCTTCCGGGTTTCAAAAGAGGGGGACAAAAAAAAATGGGGGGGGGGGACAGAATTACCTGGAGGGGGACAGAATTAACGGGCCAGGGAGGACACTTTTACCTGGGTAATTTTGTCCCCCCGGACAGTTTTACCGGGGGACAGAATTACCTTCCACAACGGTGGTTGCCAGTCAACATGACGTCACAGGGCACAATACACTACAAAATACTTTCTCTTTTCTTTGATCACTCTCTCTTTTTCATATATTTTCATGCATTATTTTCGACAAAATGTTTAGGATTTCGTTCACGCAACTCCTACCTTCCTTTTGTTATTTACAAGATTTTTTAAAACATGCAAAAATACAAAACTTTATACGACTCCATCCCGCTCGTGTTGTTTGGTCCCGTCTGCACTGAACGGCGCTCCCAGGTTTTATGACCCCCCATTCCATTTTTTTTTTATTCCAAATCCGTGGTTGATGTGGACCGGGGAATATTTCTGGCTACCCTGGGCTTATTGTCTTGTCCCGCCCCCGGGTCTGATGGCTGGATCCGCCCGTGGACCCTGTTTCAGGGAATCAAAAAGTCTTTTCGCGAGTGTCAACGCAGGCTCTGCATCTTCCGTTTGGAACAACTTCCTAGTGTTTATGTTCACAAAATGATTCCGCCAATCTACAGAGTTTTAAAATGTACACCCAGTTGTTATATGCCTACGCCAAAACTTCGTGCTGAGCGTATTGCCGATGATGTTGAGCATTCAGAATTCGAAATATTTGCAGCCGTTGTCCAGTCGTATGTGCTTCCCGTTAGCTTCATTACGGGTGATGCTATTCAGCTGACAAATCATCTCTCCGGGGTCGCCTCGGCGCAGATTGAAGGAGCGGCATCCAGGCTCACCCCGGCACGCCGAGCCGCACGCGATGACACCCTTGGCCGAGAACTCCTTGATGACGTGACCGGTGAGGCAGTGGGATGAGGAGCGGGCGTCGGCGTAGCTTTGCAGGCAGGACATCGTGGGCACGGCAAGCGGAACGGGTCTCTCACAGATGACGAATATCAGATTGTTACAGGCATTGTCATCCATGAGGCCGTTTCGATCTCGCCACAGTTGCATACAGTCTCCCACAATTGGTTCTCCTTGTGCCCAATTGAAGAAGTTGCATTCTCCTCCCTCACCAGACTTCACCCACTTGCCTTCCTCCTCCCTGTCGTTACATCCGATCCAAAGTTCCCCCAAGGTGACCTTTGCTGTGAACATCTTCCAGATGAACTGATGTTCCTCCAAGGAGTCAGGAACCGCCAAGCCAGCGCCCATCTCCGAGCAGGCAGCATCACC